AACACACACACACACCACACACAAACACACACACACACACCTGTGCGGAAAAAGAAGAGAAGAGGAGACACAGTCCCTCACCGTCCCTGGTCGACATTAGGGGCCTTGCGTCGAACCTTAAGTCTCTCGTCGGTCGGTCGCATCTATTAAATTCCTCCTCCTCACTCCTCTTTCCCTAGGCCAACGACCCGACACGTGTACAGTAGAAACACCTAGAAGAAAAAACTACTTTAAACGACACATCCACACTTTCCACAGTCCCACAGCCGTGTTACAGCACCACACCACCATCCGCACCGCCACACCCTGACCCCACCTCCAGTTCCTCTACGGCAGGGATGTACTGCACGCCACCGACGTCAGCTCCAACCACCAACTGCCAACGGTAACGGGCCAGCAGCGCAGGGTCGTCCTGAAAGACGAGATCCGATGGCGGTGCGGGACCCGTACCTGCGGCGGCGGACGTGACGGGCGGCCGATAGCGGTGGTGCGTTGACATGGCTGGTACGCAGCGTTAATACCAGCAACAGAGCGCCCCGGACCCACCCCTGGTCCTATTATTACTGCTTCCATCATTCGCTGGTATGTATGTACATATGTATGTGAGTGTCGGTCACTTTCCAACGCGATGTGGCTCGTGGTGCCGCCGGCAGGAGGCAGCCGCAAAGCCACTTGCAGCATCGAAGAATACCGATAGAATGCGATTTTCTTTGCGATCCCCACCCCCCCAACAACTGCTGCCACAACAGGAAGGACCTAATTCGATGCAACTTGAGAGGTACACGTCGTCGTTTTTTTATTTATATATCGTGTTTTTCCCTTTGTGGAAGGGGACTTGACGCGTTGAATTGAATTGAAGGATTATGTTTCCTCTTATAGTGGCACTACGGACACTGACTGCTGCGCCATGCACCTTGCACCCACCATCGGCGGCCGCGGCGGCAGGAGGGCCCCTTGTCCACCGCAGCAGCTCCAGAAGCGCCATGGAGCCCTCCACGACGGGCAGTGGGATGCGCTTAAAGGCGGCGGCCTCCTGAATCCCCGCCAGCGCCAGCGTGTATGCGCATGCGTACAGATAGACAGACAGACAGACAGACAGACAGGCATATATGAAAACATACAGATAACAAACTCTAATCCTTACGTATGCAGGCTTTTTGCGGCGGTGTTAAACCATCATAAGCATAAACATTAACCATCTCTTAAACGCTGTTTTGCGTGTCTCTAAACTGCCCTTTCTTAAAAGGGAGGGCAATGAGTGCTCAAGTGGTCTTGAAGTTGATGAGGATGAAGGCGTGGCATACGGTGGCGTTTTTTCGGTTGGTAATAACGGTTGGTCATGACTAACCGAATCCTACCTGCAGTGAGTCATACGCACGTATCTGCATTACCACCAGCTCACTCACTCACCCACCCACTCACTCACCAGCAACAGCTCCTCGATAAGGTATCGCTTCAGGGACCCCGGCCCGCCCATCGTGGCAGCTGAACCTCGCGTATCTGTGGATAAGTACGACACAGCCGCCTGTGTACCAGGGGTATAGTGGGGTATAGTGGCGGAGGGGCCAGGCATGACAGTAAATACGAATTGGTGACGTTCGATACATGCACCTGCTTGGCCAGTTCTTTACCAATGGCCGCGACAACGAGCTGACACTAAATCCCCAAGCCCTACACTCGAAGTCGCAACCACGCCGCGTTCGGCGTCCTAAATCAATTGAAGGGCACAAAGGGAACCCACGTCGAGCGCTACGAGCTCCGTCTTGGCGAAGGATTTTCCGTACACGTTCAACGTATTCGGACTTCGACTGAGCTTTTGCAAATGAGTCAGCAGGGGTGCACCAGAAAGCGTTGATATGGTGGCGGCGTTGGGGCTAGTGGGTGTGATTTCAGCAGCCGAGGTGCTCGGGGTTGTTCCGGGCGTTCGTGTGTTCATCTTGGTGTCCGCGCCTGCGGCCAATGGCGCTGCGACGGGCAGGGTGGAGTTTGGTGCCTGTGCTGAGGAAGAATCATCGCGGCTGCTTCCTTTGGTTTGCACGAGGTGACGACGCGCTGGATGGCGATTGCGAAGTGGTAGCGGACGCGGCATGCCCGACTGCATCTTCGCGAAGGGCGTCATTACGGAGGCCATTTCGGACCGAATCATAAGTTCTTAGAAGAGGTTTAAATGTTTGTGATGGGTAACTGCACGGGGTATCATATGACCGTGAAAATTGGCCTTCAGGACAACAGAGCCTTGGAAAATTGCGTCACAACATTGGCACTGCAAACCTAGGAGAAAGTAGAATTTATATTTCACCTATGAATCAAACCTGGTTAATCTTTCGCGCGCGCTGTGAAGAGGAATGGACCAACCTCCAAGCTTGCATGTACGGCGGAAACCAACGTACAATTAACGGTTAGTACATGTAGCATATACGATACGATACGTACAACCAAATGAAGGAGAACTTGCACACAGCTTCCACAGGCGATACGTAGATGCATGTCGATGCTAGCATGTTACCTCAGCTGCAGAAAAGGAACAATTTACAGATTCTGTAAATTGGAATCTGATTCATGCAAAGAGGGTCTTTCCATTGGCCAGCGGCGTAAGAAATTGCTCACTTTTAAGCTACGTTAGCCCTCGAGCACATTACTACTATTGCCCAGCACGTTTTCGCTCGCATTCCTTGACTCCCCTAGACAATGTCCCCATGGCCACCGTCGGCAAACGCGCAGCGTTGTGCTGGGACGCGACCTGGTTAAGGCCTCCATACGACATTTGCGAATGATGTAACTCGTGGTGATAGTCCGGGAAAGCAGGGTGGTGACCCGACTCGAGATTGACATGGCCACGCTGCAAGCGAAGCTGCCTCAAGCAAGCCCCGTCATCCATATGAATTCCAATGTAACCAGCAGGACTTCCCTGGAAGGACATTGACGAGGAAATAGCACTCGCCGGTTATGCGTAGCTGGCGTCTGTCGCTTCCGAGGGCCGCGACTGCACTGGTCAACGCACCAAATATTTGGCTATTCAGCTCACACAAATGTGAAGAGTATATGCGAGGTCGACAATTTAATACATGGTCGGGAGCATGTACTAGCTAAGTATTTCTTAGCGAGTGTAATTGAAAAGTTACGGAAATCTCCCTTTCCATTGGCCGTCCGGCAACTTCTCGCATGAGGCACTTCGCGCTGCCAAAATTACATACACACATTCGTTTACATCTATATTATCAGTTTGTGCAAGAAATCCCAAAAAAGGAGGTGCGGCGGGCCCGGCCGGCCCTAAGGAGAATCTACGAAAATTTACGACCAGCCAATGGAAAGACCCTCAAAGTTCTGATTGGACTTGGAACGTTGGAAGGTATGACCAATGGTGCAACATTGGTCTGCTTCCTTTCCAAACTGCTCAGAATTCATTCGGGCTTCCTCCAGATGCAAACATGGAAGCGCAGCTTTCCAGAAATCTGTATGCTTGATGTCGCGGTTCCCAAACAATCGCTTATGTTCCGTAAGAGGACTGGAGATAGAAAATGAACAGGTCGACAGTCAGAACCGGGTCACTCACCTCAGACCTTTGCCGTCGATTGCCGGAGCAGCAGCACGTCGACCTGATCCATCGGCAAGCTATGATAGATTCAGAACACTGCTGGTGCTTCATCCTGAAATAATTGAAACGAATTGTTTGAATACCTAAGGGAGATACGCCAGCTTTGTGAAATGACCTTCGGCGCCCCAGGTATGCCCAGCTCATGATGATGCGCATCCAGGTCGTAAGTATCCGAACCAAGTGCAAATAGCACAACTCCATAAATTCCATCAATGTGTAATTTACCAATTAGCGAATGCACGACAAAGAATACAACGACTAACTGAAGAAGTTGCCTCAGACGTCGAATTGCTGTTGACTGCCTGGTGGGCAGCTGGGTACATTCAATTGAAACGTACATGTTTCTATTTGTTACTGGGGGCTTAACCATCGGGGCGGCACGTGGGGGTTGACTCTTGACATTGTATAGCACGCTATGCCTGCACAAACGCAATTTTATACGAAGGCACACACCAGCCTGCGATATCATTGCTGCAAAATTCTAGCTAAGCGACAGGCCGCCGTCGGCTGTCCCAAACTTGCATCACGCAGCGGGCGCGTATCGCGATTCATCCGCGTAAATTTCTCAGAAGTTACTCATATTCACACCATGCAACGTGGCGGGCCAGGGCAGTCGGCCTCACGACTGGAAGATGCGGCGACGCAGGCATCAGTAACACAGGTCCACGCAGCCCAGGAACCGACGCAAGACAACCCTGCAGCGCGGATGCCGCTTCTAAGCGTAGCTCCCATGTAAGCTGCTGTCCGGAACACCAATTGGCGGGCGTCTCAATTCCCGCACACGAAGCGCACATTGCATGGATTCCTTGCAAACGCTCCTGCGTACCTACCCTCACCCGCGCTTTATCCAGGATGGACTGGACGGATATGCATTTTCGTCAGCTTGCCCGGCTGCTATCTCGCCGCACATGGTTGTGGACGGAGATGGTGGTCGACAAGACCATTTTGCACACGCAGGTGAGGGCGTTGCCGCTCTCTCAGCTCTCATCGCGAGCAGCAGCGTTACAAACATCCACCCAATTCCTTTGGCATCAACAACACATCTGCAGCAACAGCATAAACACCTCCAATTTCATATGCACCTCCAAATTTGCAATATCTGATTTCGGTGTGCCAATTTTGAGTAATGGCACATACACGTATCTCCCCCCCCCCCCGGGATCTCCGCGGACAGAACCTGGACAAGTTCCTTTGGTTCCCCCCCGAGCAGCGACCTCTTGTACTGCAGCTGGGGGGCTCGGACCCAGCCACGCTGGCGGCGGCGGCGGCACGGGCGGTGGAGTACGGCTACGACGAAATCAACCTCAATTGCGGTTGCCCCAGGTTGGTTGGGTTTAGTTAGGGTTGGTTGGGTTTAATTAGGGTTGGTTGAGCTTCATCCTAGGGACGGTCTTTCCCTAAAAGAGGCACTGTGTGAGTGTCGGGTTGTCCCACCCTGGTCAGGCGGGTCGTGGTTGTGGTTGTGGTCGAGGTTGTGGTCCGGAAAGAGAGCCAATCGGAAAGAGCCTGGTGGGATGCTCCCGGGCGCTCCATGACGTGTGAGTGTGAGTGT